CCATCCCCCCCTCCCCCCCACATCCATCAGTCCTCAGTTTTTGTCAGCATTCAAGAGTCTCTCATGGTTTGTCTCTCTCCCTTTCCCCCGCCATTTCCCCCCTTCTTCTCCCCCTTGTTCCTCCGTCAAGTTCCTCCTAATCCTTCTGTACGTGCAAACATATGGTATTTGTCCTCTGCCTGACTTATTTCACTCAGCATAACACCCTCAAGGTCCATCCATGTTGCTACACATGGCCAGATTTCATTGGAGAAACTCCTTGAGTATTGAGGAGAGTGAAAGGTGGTCTCAGTTAAATGCAAACTGACACCTTGCTCTGTTAGCTTCCAAAGGGCTGCATTGTCATGCAGATTGCTGGCCTACAGCATCTGTCTCGGCCAATATCCACTATGGGGACAGGTTTTTCTCCTTGCGGTGAAAACAGAGTTTTGTTTCACCTGGTAGTAAAATTTATGCAATTTTAAATTAAGCTTTATAGCATTAGAATTATTGAGATTCTACTGATTACAATTTCAAAATTATAAAACCTTGAGAAATCAAGTGTTCCTCTTTATCTGGAATATTGTCCCCAGTTCTGCAGTCAGCTACTGAATGGGGCCAGGTTTTTAGGTGGTTTTGCTGTGCAAACATTTTATGCATATGTGGAATGCAGAGGAAGATTAATTCAGTTTGGATGAAGAGGAAACTGAAGAAGCCATTGAACCCTGGAGAAAGTTTATTATTTATAACAACCACTCTACTTTGGGCTGTACTTTGCATGTCAGTAGGCCTGGGGGCAAGCAGGGGAGGGCAGGGTTGGCAGTGCTGACAGATGGGTCACTGTGGGACCTGGCCAGGCCCTGCCTGAGGTGCAGAGAAGGCTCTCCCTGTGTTTCTTCCTCCTTCCTGTGGGTCTGTGGAAGGATTACAGGGGAAGGGGTGTTCTGGCCTCTGCCCTCACACATAGGCCTTGGGGACTGTAAACAGAAGATTCCCACAGCTAAGGTGCTGTCAGGTCCTGTTGGGTAGAGGGCGGGGTTAAGGCCACTTCTCAGTGTTCTGTAATTTAGGTTGATGGCTTTCTGGGGAGAGAGGGAAGGACAGAAGAAGAGGCAGTGTGCAGTGAGGCAATTCTTCAAATAGGATTTGAGCAGCGTGAAAACTAGAAACCTGGGAACCTATGTGTGGGAATGGTAATTCCATGCTGTTAGTGGTGATATTATAATGAACATGAAGGATAAGTTGCCTGGGTATCTAGCACCTGGCGTTATCTTTTGTTTTTTATTTTAGAGAGAGAGTGTGTGAGCAGGGAAGGGGGCAGGCAGAGGAGAGAGAGGGAGAATCTCAAGGAGAATCTCCACTGAGTGTGGAGCCTGATGTAGGGCTTGATCCCACACCCTGGGATCATGACCTGAGCTGAAATCAAGAGTCTGATGCTCAACTGACTGAGCCACCCAAGTGCCCCAACTCCTGACATTTTCTGTAACTGTCCCCTCAGCAGCCCAGCAAAGCAGGTATTTTAGACCCAGTTTGACAGAACTTGGATTTGCCCAGAGTTGAATTGCTTGGGGGTCCTGCAGCCTTGCAGTGAGTACCAGGAAAGGGCACTGGGTCACTTTAGTTGTGAAGACAGTGTTGGCAATGTCTTGGGTCATTTAGGACTGTCTGCATGAGTCAGAAAGATTCTGATGCTTCAGAGTTCACACAGAATCATTGGCCATCTCTATTTACCTTGGCAGGAGGAAGATGGCCTTTCTCTGAGCTCCTTCCTTATCCTACGCAACTGTTGTAGCTCATCTTGTTAATGTGCAGGCAGCAGGGTTTCAAGGGAAATCAGATGCTTGGAGGCTCAGACGTTCTGATTCTGGGGCTCCAGCCTTCTCTTAAAGGAATGGACTCCAATCCAATCCATTTCAG